CCTTCATGATCACACATGTTGGTGTGCTGCTTCCATGTGGGCTTTGTTGCTTCTGGGCTAGATGGCCGCTTGTTTACTTTCAAGAGGAAATGTTAATTTTCAAGAGAGTCCGTAGATCTCATTATTCTAAGTCATACTAAGCAGATTTGTGATCCACATCTGTATGCTGCCTTTAAGTTGGTTTTCTATGTTTATATACAGCTTATCTACTTTTCAGGAGCCCTGGTGGCATAGAGGCTACAGGTTGGCCTGTTAACTACAAGGTCGGCAGTTCAAAAACGGCAGCCACTCTTGGGAGAAAGAGGAGGCTTTCTAATCCCGTAAAACACAATTACAGTCTCAAAAACTCACTGGATAGGCTGTCTGTTCTACCCTGTCCTATAGGCTTGCTATGAGTTGGCATCAACTCAAAGGCAGTGAGTTTTTTGGTTATGTCCTTTTCACAGCACTGGTGGTGTAGTGGGTAACATGCAAGGTGACCAGTTCGAAACCCCGATACGTCTTCCAAGACAGATTTGGTTGTTCTTCTGTAAGCCCATGGCACTTTCAATATTCACCAGCACCACAATTCATATACATCGGTTCTTCTGTGGTCGTTCTTATTCTTTACCCAGCTTTCGCATGCTTATGAGGTGATGGTAAACACCATGGCTTGGGGTAGGGGGGTGCTAGCTCCTCAAGGGCAGCAATTTGAACCCACCAGGCACTCTGCTGGAGAAAGATGAGGCTGTCTATTCCTGTCAAGATTTGTAGTCTTGGCAACCCAGAAGGTCAGAACTTCCCTGGCCTATAGGGTTGCTGTGAGTCAGAATTGAATCAATGGCAGTGAGTCAGAATTGAATCAATGACACCGAACTAGTCCTCAAAGTGATTATCCTTGCTTTAACCCTATAAAAGGGTACTGTAGCAGATTTGCCTATTGCAATATGTTGTTGGGTTTCTGGACCGCTGCTTCCATAGACATTGTTTGTGGATTCAAGCAAGATGAACTCTTTGGCAACTTCAGTCTTTGCTCTGTTTATCACGATGCTCTCCATTGATTCAGTTTGAAGACGTTTGATTTTCTTCACATTGAGTCATAATCCAGACCAAAAGTTTCCATCCTTGATCTTCATCATCAATTGCTTCAAGTCTTCCTCACATTCAGCAAGCAAGGTTGGGTCATCTGCATGTCACGGTTGTTAATGAGCCTTCTTCCAAACCTGATGCCGTGTTCTTCGTGTTCTCAGATTACTTTAAATATGGCGAAAGGATACAACCCTTAAACATACCTTTTCTGATTTTAAACCTTGCAGTTATCTCCTCATTCTTTTTGAATAATTACGTCGTGGTGGTGTATGTACAGGTTCCACTTGAGCACTAAGAAGGGTTTTGGAATTCCCATTCTTCTCGATGTTATCCATAGTTTGGTATGATACACATAGTTGCATGCCTTTACATAGTTAATAAAGCGCAAGCAAGCATCTTACTAGTGATCCATCTGATACCAGCAATGAAATCCCTCATTCTATATCCTCTTCTGAATCTGCCTTGAATTTCTGCCAGCTCCCTGTACTGCTGCAACTGTTTTGAATTACCTTCAGCAAAATTTAATTGTATGTAATATTAATGATGCCACTAGATAATTTCCACATTCAGTTATGTTTCCTTTTCTTTGGAATGGACGCAGATTTGAGTCTCTTCCAGTTGGTTGTTCAGGTAGCTGTCTTCCAAATTTCCTGGCATACATGAGTGAGCGCTTCCGGTGCTTCATCAGCTTCTTAGAACATTTCCATCGGTGGGTCATCAATTACTAGAGAATTGCTTTTGGCTAATGCGCTCAGTGCAGCTTGAACTTTCTTCTGCATCATGGGTTCTTGCTCATATGCTACCTATCACCTGAAATGGTAGAGCCACGAGCTCTTTTTGGTACAGCGACTCTGTATTCCATCCATCTTCTTTTGATATTTCTCACATCGTTCAATGTTTTTTCCCATAGAACCCTTCAATATCGTAATTTGAGGCTTACATTTTTCCTTTAGTTCTTTCAGCTTAGAGGTGTTTTTTCTTTTCTTTTCTGACTCCAGGCCTTTGGACATTGAATTATAAATACTCCACTTGCCCTCTAGAGCTGCCAGGATCTCTTCTGACATCCACTTTGATCTTTTTTCCTCTAATCATTTTAATGACCATTAGATTTCTTTGTGTATGTCATCTCGCAACTCATTTGGTCTTCTGTTATCGGGGTATCAAATCTGGTTTTTTTTATTCAAAACTGTTTTTGATATGGTCCCTAAACTCAGATTGAATGTGTGCAACATCATGTTTTGCCTTTTGTGGATATGTTTTAATTTTCTTTAGCTTCAACCTAAACTTAATATGAGCAATTGATTTGTTACGTAATTGTCACCTGTCCTTGTTATTGAACTTATCCATCTCCCCACATTGATAGTAAATTTGATCTCTGTGTATTCCATATAAATCCATTGCCATTGAGTCAACTCCAATTCATATTTAGTAATTGTTTTAAGTTGTTGAGAAAAGATGTTTGCGATGAAGAGTTCTGCAATATTCAATCATATCATCTCCACCATTGTTTTCATCACTGAGGCTCTATTTTTCCAACTATTGATTGTTCCTCTTTTTTTCAACTTTTGCAATCAATCACCAATAATTTTCAATGTATCTCTTTGTATGTTTGATCAATTGTAGTTGGAAGAAGTTGGTAGAATTGTTCAATTTCTATTTCACTGGCTTTGGTGTTGGAACAAATTCAAATAATGTTTATATTAACTGGTCTTATTTATAGATGTATAGTTATTTTCCTTTCACAGATAGCATTATACTTCAAGATGACGTCCAAATGTTCCTTTTCATGATGAATGTGATACCATTCCTCTTGGATTTGTTATTTGATGGCATAGCCACCCATATGATTATCTAATTCAAAATGGTCATTACCAGTCCATTTCAGCACACTAATTCTTAGGCTACCAATTTTTATTTGTTCCATTTCAGTTGTGACACCTTTCAATTGTGACTATTTATAGATATTTGCAGCTATCTCTTCCCATTTTCATTCATATCCCAGTGAAAAAGTCCTGAGAAATTTGCTTCTATCCGTGTCATTAAGGTCAACTGTATTTTGAGACAGTAACTCTTCTTCAGTCATATTTTGAGTGCCTTCCAACTGCAATGGCTCATCTTCTGGCACTATATCTTACAATGTTAAGCTGCTCCTTATAAGGTTTTCAGTGGCTAGTCCTTTTAAAGTGGACAATCTAGTCCTTTTTCATAGTCTGGAAGCTCCTCTGACACCTGTGGTGATCCTGCTGGTGTTCGAAATACAAATGGCACAGCTTCCAGCACCACAGCAAGATGCAAGCCACCCCAGTAAACCAAACTGACAGATGAGTAGCATCTATGGGAACCTTTAAATTTTATATGCATGACTATGAGATATTTCAATCTGTACAATCTGTATGGACAAGTATTCAAAGAAGTAATTCTCTTTTTCTCTCAAGTCTTCTCCCAACCCCATCTCCCCAGAAAAACAAACCAGTTGCCATGGATTCAATTCTGACTCATAGCAAACCCATGTATGTCAGAGTAGAACTGTGTTCTATAGTTTGCAATAGATAATTCTTTGGAAGTATGTCTTTCTTCTAAAGAGTCTTAGGGTAGACTGGAACATCCAGCCATGAGCAGCACAACATGTGAACTATCTGCACTACCTAGAGACTTCCCTTTCCCTAGATCGGCAGTTCTTAGCCTGTGGGTCGCGACCCCTTTGGGGCTTGAATGACCCTTTCACAGGGGTCGCCAGATTCATAGCAGTAGCAAAATGACAGTTATGAAGTAGCACCAAAAATAATGTTATGTTTGGGGGGCTCACCACCACATGAGGAACTGTACTAAAAGGTTGAGGAAGGTTGAGAACCACGGCCCTAGATGTAGCCACGATGACTGGATTCTTATAGTAATCCTTTTACCTTGATGGTGATGGCACACCATATGTGCTGGAATTGAACTTTGGTAAGTCCTGTTGTACTTCTTTCGAAATTGATTTTATACAGTTGATGTGTTAGGATGATGTATGTGCGTTTAACATACAGAATGAGTTCGAAAGTAGATTAACCTAAAATTTAGTCTCTTATTTGATCTTCCTTATGACCCACTTAAATTTGCTCTAGTTTTTAATATTTTCTGCTTTCTTTTCTATTGAGGTTTTTATCTGCTTTGCTTTGTTATTATTAGTAGTTTTTTTGTTGTATGCTTTTCTGTATATGAAATCCAGGATAGGTAAATCTACAGAGACAGTAACTGGATTCATGGTTTCTGGTGGGTAAGGCAGGGGAGGTTGGGGGGAAATGAGGAGCTAATAACAATTAGTATAAGAATGAAGAAAATGCTCTAATATTGCTTGTGGTGATGATTGAAATACTTCTTGATGTGATTGAAATACTGAATTGTATGATATGTAAATTATATGCCAATAAAACTATTTGGGGGGAATAAATAAAAATGAACGGAATTAATTTCTTATTTCTATTCTGTGCATTGTAGGATATTTTATGGCATCCACTAGATGCCAGTAGCAACCGTTCCCCCACCCCCAAATGTCTCCACAGAGGGAGGGAAAAATCACCCATGGTTGAGAATCAGTTGCTGCTATCCAGAAGATCAGCAGTTCAAAAACACCAGTCACTCCTCGGGGGAAAGACAAGGCTTTCTACTCCCGCAAAGTGGTACAATCTTGGAAACCTGCAGAGGCAGTTCTACTCTATCTCCTGTAGGGTTGTCATGAGCCAGAATTGATTTGAAGGCAGTGAATGTACCATTTGAGACTTCCCTTTAAACAGACACACACACATTGGGTATGCTAATTACTTATTATTTAAGTGTATTTCTGTGTACTTAATACAACAATGCCTTTTTTATTTCCTTAGAAAATTACTTTAGACTCTCGTCGTTTGGAAGAAGTGCCCCTGAATGAAGACATTTGTCTACACGTCATCTCCCAGTGTGGCACCAATGAAAGTGAGAAAACTTTGAAAGGGGAGAAAAAGTGCATCTCACCTCCAGAAGGTAACAACCGCAAGCACATTTCATGGTGCCTCAAGAGTGAATCCAAATTTTCCGTGTGCATATGTTCACTGCTCATTAATTTATTGACTTCTTAAGTATTTGCAGTCTCCTAAATGCCCGTCATTGGACTAGGAACTGGCACCTTAATGATATATGAGAGGACATCCCTACCGTCCTGGAGCTCACAGATAGCGTGAATAACATGACCTGATAGTTAATGTTGAACAGACCCACACACCCACCCAACTCCATGGCGACCAAGTGCATTCTGAGCCAAGCAGTACGAGGTAGATTTCCCAAGGCTGTAAATCTGTATGAGAGCAGACAGCCTCATCTCTCTCCCTTGGAGCAGCTGGGGGATTTGAACTACTGACCAGTCCAATGCTTAATCCGACAGTGTCCCCAGGTATCCTTGATAGTTAAATAGCACTTAACAATTTGAAAAATCAGATACACAATGTACACACACACACACACACACACACATCTCCCAAACCAAGCCTTATAAACTTATCTTGAGAAGGAAGCAAGGCATAGAGTATGATCCTGATCCATTTTCCGAGGGAGGAAGGAACTGAAGGGATTTGCTCTGGTCGCAAGTGGCAGCCCTGAGCCTGAGGTTTTCAGATTCCAGGTCCAGTGTTTTAAAAACCAAACCCCAACACCACCTTAGTGTATAAGGAGGCTTCACAAAGTTCATTGGGCTGGGGGGTGGGGTCCGTTATCTTTTCACTCTATTTTTCCGTGAACTTTTTGAGGCCCCCTTGCTAATTTCATGCGATCATATGACTTTTGTCCTTTTGCAACTGACTGCTTTCACTCAGCATAATGTTGTCAAGGTTCGGCCACCTCGTGGCACCCGTCATTGCTATCCCTGGCTAGGTTGCAGTCCGCTGGATGTATATGCACATTTGGGTTATCCGTTCATCAATTGGTTGGACTTGTTTAGTTTTGGAACAAGACATGTGTCAGTCTTAATCATAAGATAGGAAGGCAAATGATAACTCCGTAAAGTGTTTGTTTTCCAAAGAACAGGCAGACTAAGGGATTGTTTCTGCTTCCACATTCGATTAGGAATTCCATAATCATTGCTTATGGTTGAAATGTGATTTGACCTTTAATCTCTGTCTCTCCAGGTAGGGGGTCCAGGAGAGAGGGTTCCTCAGAGATAGGAAAGATATTTTCATATAATCCAGCGGTGTTAATGCTGTAAGCAAATTCAATGTAGGTTGTTTCTGCCCCGGAGCGCTGGGAGTGCAGGTGATGAGCTGTGCTGCCCACCACAAGGTCAGCAGTTGGAGCCCACCAGCCACCCATTAGGAGAGATATGGGACTTTGACCTCCTGGAAAGATTTACCGCCTCAGAAGCCCACAGGGGCGGTTTTACTTTGTCCATAGGGAGGCAATGAGTTCTGATTGACTTGATGGTAGGGAGTTTTTGAGTTTCTCTGTCCTAAGTGCCTTTGGCATGAAACAAGGAAAGTTTAGGGATGAGCTTTCTGGTCAGGTAGCAGGAGGCACACTGACCAACCCTCCACTCTTCCAGAATGAATCGGCTAGTTTGCGTTTTAAGGAAAGTAGAGCCCTAAACTCTTAGCCTGGGTTTTCTAGGTGATCCCAGGTCCGCTGTGACTGAGCTGCGATGCATCTGGTTCAACCTGACCACTATGAAGTGTTCGTGGCTCCCTGGGAATACTACAGGTCCCAACACCACCTACCTTCTCTACTATTGGTGAGTATGTACAGGAGAAAGACGAACTGTGCTTGTGTCAGCAGCCTGTGGAGCCAAGCTAGTTTTGCTTTTAAAAGAGTCGCCTCTTCTGCAAGCCCAAGAAGATGGCACCATTTGCTTCATTGGATAATGCATTTGAAAAAAAAAGCCTAATTAACTACAAGTCCATGGGAAATGACCCCTCCCCACCCCCCTAAAAACTAAGGTTACAGCTAAGTCTGATGCACAGTCCCACTCCTTCCCCACTGAGGGTAACATCTTGAATAGCGAGGACGCAATATCAAAACCAGAAGTTTGACATGGGTATAGTCCACCGACCTTGCCCAATTTTACTTGCCTTCATGTGTATGTGTGTATAGTTCTGTGTAATTAACACACGTTTAGATACAGAACAGTTCCAGCACCAATAGGATCTCTCAGGTGGCTCTTTTATGGTCACCCCCACCTCCCTTCTGCCACCACCCCTCCCCATCCCTCACCCCTAGCAGCTATTAATCATTAGTCGGTTCTATGTGTACACTTTTGTCATTGGAAGAATATTAGTGAAGTCGAGTGAAACCGCAGGTATTCTTTTGCTACTCACCTTCCCACTCGATTCCAGTTCTTGCAGGTATCACGAGTTCATACCTTTTTGTCGCCAAGTTGGAGCCTGTTAGGTGAACTACAGTTCACGTGACCGTGCTCCCATTGGAGGTCATCTTAGTTTTCCGTTTGGAGTAATGCTGAATAAAGTTGCCGTGAACATTTGAGTTATAGGTCCTTGTGAGAACTCGAGCTTTCATTTCCTTGCTGCAACTGCCCAAGAATACGATTGATAGATCATGTGGTAGTGGCAGGAAGCCCTGGTAGCATAGTGGTTACAAGGTCAGCAGTTTGAAACCACCAGCCACTCCTCGGGAGAAGGATGACTTTCTACTCCCGTAGAGATTTACAGTCTGAGAAATGCACGGGGGGCAGTTCTATCCTGCCCTACAGGATTGCTGAGTTGGAAGTGACTGGATACCGGTGAGTTTTGGTTTTATGGTAATTACATGGTTAGTTTTAAAGAAACCATCAAACTCTTTTCTAGAGTGGCTGTACCACGTTGTATCCCTACCAGTAATGTATGAACGATTGGTGTTTCTTACTTGTTTTCATTTTTTGGAGCATTTTATTGTGTTTTAAATGAGAATTTCTATTGGAAATTAATTTTTCATCCAGTAACTCATGCACACAAAGTTGTTTCCTGGCGTTGGTTATAACTCCAGCAGTATGTCAGCATTCGCCCCATCTCTACCTGGGTTCCTGTTTCTGTTCATTTGGTTTCCTTGCCCTCCCTGTCTTCTCATCTTTACTTGTGGGCAAATGTTGCCCTTTGGTCTCTGTGTAGTTAAAGGTTCTATTTTACTTTTCACACCTTACACTAACTGCTGCCTCTCTTCCCCAACTTCTGTTGTTCATCCCCCGGGTGTGTGTGTGTGTGGTTATGTGTCGGTCATTGCGATCGGTTCCCTCTTCCTCCCCTCCTCACTCTACCACCCTGTCCCCTCCTGGTATCCCTACTCCCATTTCTGTTCCTGAGGGGTTTATCTGACCTGGATTCTGTGTGTCCTGAGCTCTTTTCTATACCAGTGTACAATGTCTGGTCTAGCCCGCAGTGAAAGGCAGGACTGGGGTCATGATGGTGGGGGATGAGGAAGCCTCAAAGAACCAGAGGAATATTGTGTGTTTAATCAGTGCTTTACTGCACCCTGGTTTACTCATCCCTTCCTTGGGACTCTTCTGTGAGGGGATGTCCCACGATCTACAGATGAATTTTGGGTCTCTTCTCTGACCCCTCTTTCTCAACAATATGTTTGTTTGTTTGGGTCTTCTGACTATTACCTGATTCCGTCAACACCTCATGATCACACAGGCTGGTGTGCTTCTTCCATATGGATTTATTGCTTCTGAGCTAGATGGTCGCTTGTTTATCTTCAAGCCTTTAAGACCCCACACGCTATATCTTTTAATAGCCGGGCACCATCAGCTTTCTTCACCACATTTGCTTATGCACCCACTTTGTCTTCAGTGATCGTGTTGGGAGAGTGAACATCACAGAATGCCAGGTTGCTAGAACAAAGCGTTCTTGTGTTGAGGCAAGGCTTGAACAGAGGCCCAAAGACCATCCATTACCTCAACGTATTGCCATATAAATATATGTACATAGGCCAATAACTCTGTATATTAAAATAAACATGGCTATATCCTGGGATGAAATGCCAAAAATCAGCTGAATTTTAAAATAAAAACCTCCCAAATTGTCCCAGGGGTTAGCATTCACTCTCCTCTCCTATGGAAGAGTTGTTGTATGCCTCAGATTGACTTCCAATTCATAGCAAGCTTACCGGACAGAGGAGAATTGTCACATAAACTTCATAGGCTATCACCTTTATTGGCACAGATGGCCAGATACTCCCAGCAACTGTACAAATCGCTCTTGAAGAAGCTCAAGGGCCCTATGCTTCAGTTGGGGTTTTTTCCCTGCCATGTGAGCAAGGGTCCTTTGAGGTTGTACAGGTTCACTTGCCCACTCTCCATCCCCATTGTATTTCTCTTTTCTTTTTGGTTCCAGGCTCCTTCCGGGTTTTATTTATTTTCGAACACCCATTGTGTTTCCTTTACTTCGACTGCTCCAGTGACTGCCTGATGACTTTGGGATGAATTCCAAATTCATCAGCATGACAAGCCCTTTATGGTCTGTCTTTTCTTAACCTGGCTAGCCTCTGGTCTTACCTCCCTCCTCGGGCCCACCTGCCTCCTTCCCCCAGGCCCACACCTGAACTTCTTTCCGTACCTCCCCCTCACTCTGCACTCAAAACACAAGGGGGCAGCAGGCGATGCCCTCCTGAATTCTATGCCTTGCCCCTTCCACTGGCTGTCTCTTAGCTGTCTCTTTAAAAATGTCACCTCCTCCACAGAAAGCTTTCCTTGCCTTCTCAAATCTAGCTATGTGCCTATTCATTGTGTCCCGTGGCACCCTGCACTTCCTGTGTCACACCACTTAGGACGGTGTGTTGTCATTTCCTGTTTACTTGCTAATAGCCCTTGCTAGACTGATCTCTCTTGAGAGCAGGGTCTATGTCTCGAGGTCAGTGCCTCACACATGGCGGAAAAAAAAACAACCCTCAAAAATCCACTGCCATCGAGTCAATTTTGACTCATAGCTGACCTTGTAAGTACCTCAAGTTGGAGTTCACCGCATTACCGCACACATGGAACTCAAGATAGTAATGGTTCAGCGACACCCCAGGGAGGCAAGTAATGGGGATCACCAGTTCTTGTCACACATTGCCAGGGTCATTATTGTGGACTCTTTCTGTAGTATAGACATGCACTATCCAGTATAGTTGCCATTAGCTGTGTGTAGCTATTTGTATCTTAATTGATTTTACATTAAGATATAGATCCAGGAATGGATTTTGACCTCGCAATAAATCCTAGCTCCAATGTAAGAACAATTGGGTCTTACAACAAGGGCCTGCTTGATACTTGGAAGGAAACACAGAAGATATGGGTGCTATAGCAAAGTATGGTGAAGAAATTAGAATGTGAAAATTTTTTATTTTTATATTTTTTCAAAACCATTTTATTGGGAGCTATTACAGATATTATACCAGATATCATACCATCCCATAGTTCAGTCACATCAAGCAGTATTGTGCAATTGCTACCACAATCGGTTTCCAAACATTTTCTTCCTTCCTGAATTCCTTGCTATCAGCTCCCTTTAACATGTGTTATTTGGGAGCAGTTAACTCTGTTAGGTGGTGCAGTAGACAATTTGGTTTAGGTATCCAGGGCAGAGTGTTAGATTAGGTGTTAGGAGAGCCATCCGAAAGTGGGGGAAGGGAGTGTTAGAGGAGGAAGAGTGAAAGAAGCAGTAGGTAAAAAGTAGGGGGGAAGATCAGGTAGTGTTATTTGGTAGGCTAAAGGAAGGAAGATTAGGCTCAAAAATGGCAATGATGGAGGAATGAATACTAATATTTGATAGAGAAAATGGTTTTTTTAAAATCAATTTATTGGGGGCTCGTACAAGTCTTATCACAATCCATACATCCAGCCATTGTGTCAAGCACATTTGTACATTTGTTGCTGTCATCATTCTCAAAACATTTGCTTTCTACTTGAACCCTTAATATCAGCTCCTCATTTTTCCCCCTCCCTGTCCCCTCCCTCATGAACCCTTCATAATTGATAAACTATTATTTTGTCATATCTTACACTGTGCAATGTCTCCCTTCACCTACTTTTCTGTTGTCCATCCTCCAGGAAGTAGATTATATGTAGATCCTTGTAATCGGTTCCCCCTTTCTACCCCAACCTCCCTCCACCCTCCCGGTATTGCCACTCACCACTGGTCCTGAAGGTATCATCTGTCCTGGATTTCCCTGTGTTTCCTCTCTGTACCAATGTACATTGTCTGATCTAGCCAAGATTTGTAAAGTAGACTTGGGATCATAATAGTGGGAAGAGGAAGCATTTAAGAAGTAGAGGAAAGTTGTATATTTCATCGTTGCTACCCTACAACCTGACTGGCTCGTCTCCTCCCCGCAACCCTTCAGTAAGGGGGTGTCCAGTTACCTACAGATGGGCTTTGGGTCTCCACTCTGCACTCACCCTCATTTACAATGATATGATTTTTTTCTTCTTTGATGCCTGATACCTGATCCCTTCGACACCTCGTGGTCACACAGGTTGGTGTGCTTCTTCCATGTGTGTTTTGTTGCTTCTGAGCTAGATGGCCGCTTGTTTATCTTCAAGCCTTTAAGACCCCAGATGCTATATCTTTTGATAGTCAGGCACCATTTTTTTAATGTACTAATACTGTCACCTTTTGGTTTTATGAGGATGTGAAGGTAAGAAAAGGTTTGACAAGAAGAAAACTAAAAGATAGGTTAATAGTGTTCTAAAGTAAAACTTTAGATACTTCGATTAAAGAAAGGAAAACTTAAGGAAAGGGCAAGAAATGAAAGTTTTAA